TGTCCTTTGTGCAAAGCTTGATCAAATGTGAGTTCAGACTTCTCCTTTGCTACATTTTGCAACCCTCATGCTGCTTCTGCGCTGTCTTGTGGATCTTGTGGATTCAACTGCTCTGAGGTCATATCATCCATGAGCTTCACGGTGATGGTCCAGAGCTCTTCGAAAATGATAGCCATCTGCAAGAACGAAATGTGAGCATGTGCTAGAACAGCCAGAAGGTGGGGTCAACTGGGTCAACTGGGTCAACCATAACCTCAACTTGTCAATTACACACAATTTCCAAGTTGTGCATTTGCGCCCATCACGTACCTCGCACCATACTCTTCCACGAAACAGTGCTTGGGCAGCGTGGATTCCTGCCTCTAGCACAGTTCAAGACAATTAGTTGCATATCGACACATTGGCCACGCAGCACACAGTTGACTTCTTTATCCAATGCTGTCCTCACGTGTTGCCACTCTGGAGTTTCCAAGTGCTCCCAGCACGCTCTTGGCAAGAAGAGGCCACTCCTGCAACATGCTCCAGTCAGTGCGTGTGTGTGTGTACGTGTGTACGTGTGTACGTGTGTGTGTGTGTGCTGGCTGTAATTTTCTCTGCTTTCTCAAACTACTGTGGCTAAAGTGTGTTTGCATCAGTGTGCGGCACTTGAGATTGCAAGAAAGATCTGGGTAGCATAGAATGCTTCCTGGCCCCTTTTCATCTTCCTCTCTTCTAACAAGCTTGTGCACTGGCTTTGTCGTACAGGATTTTTGTCATGTTGTCTATGACTTCTATTCTATCCTGTGTGCTCCAGCCTCCGGATGTTTAGACGTCAGTGATTGCGGTGATTCGCAGCTAAAGTAGTTGGCAACAACCGCGACCACCTTGTCTCACAGGGCGCAAAAGAAGCGCAAGGCTGCTGTCGGTTGGTCTGACACATTAAAGAATCAATCCTGAAACGCAACTAACATTTTGACACCGACGTTTGTTGACACTTCAGATTCCCTGTGTATATATATATATATTTATATTTATTTATTTATTTTTAGGTATGTGCGTGTGGGTAATCTAAATATATATATATATTTGTATATCTATAAGTGTATATGTATTGTACTCTATGTTATATATACATATTAAATAAATCGTATAGGCATATTATAATATATATATATATACATACCTATTATATTTATATACATAGTGTATATATATATACATATTAAATATATATTATACATATATACATATACATATTATATATACAAATAATATGTAAATACATATTATATATATATACAAATTAAATGTACATATGAAATATACATATTATATACACATTATATACACGCATTATATACACATTATATATACATATCAAAGATACATATTATCAAAGGAAGTTGGGAAGCAATACTTCCGTGTTACGGACAAATAGAATTCTGAGACTTGAAATGATGAAGGGTGGTGCGCGACTGAGACTTGACCTTGATGAAGGGTGGTGTGAGACTTTACATTACATAACAATACATAACAAAAGGATTGACCTTGATGAAGGGTGGTGTGAGACTTTACATTACATAACGATACATCAGACTGCCTACGTAATACTGTTGTCTTTTGCAGCTGAAGATCGTAAATCGTATTGGAGTGGCTGCATCCAGGCTGCGACAGTGATTTGTCAGCAAATTCTCGCAATTTTCACAGTAGTAATTTTCCTTTTAAAAATCCTTTTAAAAAGCGCTTCAAAGTCGTCTTTTTTCTGCTTTGGCGTCGAGATCCATCAGGTTTTGGAGGTGCAATTTCCGATACTGTTGCGCGTAGTTCTATTGTGTTTTGCAACTCAGTCTCTGCAGATCGCATTGTAGTTGCTCGGTGCCGCGGCTGCATGCGTAAACCTATGGCCTTTGATGTCTTTTGTATAAATCGTATTGGAGTGGCTGCATCCAGGCTGCGATAGTGATTTGGCAGCAGATTTTCGCAATTTTCACAGTCGTAATTTTCCTTTTAAAAACATGTTTTAACAAATGCTTCAAAATCGTCTTTTTTCTGCTTTGGCGTCGAGATCCGGTTTTGAAGCTGCAATTTCCGACACCATTGCGCATAGTTCTATTGTGTTTTGCAACTCAGTCTCTGCATGCAGATCGCATTGTAGTGGCTGCGTCAAGGTTGCTCGGTGCCGCGGCTGCCTACGTAATACTATTGTCTTTTGCAGCTGAACAGCGTAAATCGTATTGGAATGGCTGCATCCAGGCTGCGATAGTGATTTGGCAGCAGATTTTCTTAACTTTGGCGCTAGTCATTTTCCTTTTAAAATCCTTTTAAAAAATGCATCAAAATCTTTTTTTTTCTGCTTTGGCGTCGAGATCCGGTTTTGGAGCTGCAATTTGCGACACCGTTGCACGTAGTTCTATTGTGTTTTTGCAACTCAGTCTCTGCAGATCGCATTGTAGTGGCTGCGGCAAGGTTTCTCGGTGCCGCGGCTGCATGCGTAATACTATTGTCTTTTGCAGTTGAACAGCGTAAATCGTATTGGAATGGCTGCATCCAGGCTGCGAGATTAATTTGTCAACAGATTTTCTCAACTTTGGCGCTAGTAATTTTCCTTTCAAAATTCCTTTTGAAAAATGCTTCACAAACGTTTTCTTCTGCTTTGGCGTCGAGATCCGGTTTTGAAGCGTAGTTCTATTGTGCTTTTCACCTCAGTCTCTAAACTTTTGCAGTCAATTATGGGGCTTGGGATTTTGATTTGGGGACATCAATTTGGATCCTTTGAACCCCATATTATACCCATACGAAATTGTAGCTATGTATAAATATATATATATGTATGTATATGTATATAGGTACACATATATGATTATATAACTATATATATGTGTGTGTATTTGTATTTAGATCATGTGATATATATATATATGTCATGTGATATAATACCAACATATACTTCCTTCATACTAAATATAACTGATTAAAATATACTTAAGATAATAGAGAATAACACACCATTCCCATCTCCGCAGACACACACACACACCAAGAGGTGGTTCAGGGTGATAGATAGATGTAGACAGTTGTATATATATATGTGTGTGTGTCGAATAATATTGAATCCGATGAAATATGTATACTCATAAGTATATATTCACATACATGCATACATACATACATACATACATATATATATATATATATATATACGTATGTCAGACCTACAAACATATATATATATATATACATATACACATATGTCTTTTATGTGTCGGTGTGTACATACCTGGATAGAAACACATATATGTATATATGTACGATATTTATATTAGATATATATGTGGCAGGGTGATATTTCCCATACAATATTTAATTCCCAAAAAAATGAGAATATATGTTAGAGGACCTGGAGTCCATCAATTAAACGGGGCATACTTTGAGTTCAGTGTCCTGAAATTCAGGCTCACTCCAATCCTCTTCCATTGCAGCTGGGTCAAATGTAGCCCAGCAACAAGCCAGTGAGAGAAAATGCTGCAGGGACGCTCTGTTACTAAACTTATGAACTTCCGCCGAAAATCCATACAAATCAGCAGAACTCAGGCGCACATTTTGTGATGTTGAGTTCCGCCGAATTTTTTTTTTCAGCAGAAATCCTGTGGAAAACCATTGAATCAGCAGAAGTCCACTACACATTTTGTAATGTTGAGTTCCGCCGAACCATAGGTCTGAATATATACTAAGTTCCGCCGAATAAAAATATTTTCAGCAGAGGTCAGGTACACAATTTGTGTAGTGGAGTTCCGCCGAAAAACAAAAAAAAAGTCCGTTAAAAAAAATGCAACCGATTTGGGGACACAGGCCCCCAAAAGTTCCGCCGAAAAAAAAAATCAGCAGAAGTCAGGTACACAATTTGTGTAGTGGAGTTCCGCCGACGGACAAAGTCCGTAAAAAAAAAATGCAACCGATTCGGGGGCACAGGATCTCAAAAGTTTCGCCGAAAAAAAAAATCAGCAGATCTCAGGACGTCTCATGCCCGATAATCGGCCGCAACGGAAAAAAGGTCCACAAAGTCCGTAAAATAAGTTGCTGAAAAATTTAAGGTTTAGATCCTAACAAAATTGAACCTTTGACAGATTTGAGTTTTTTGGGGATTGTTACTATCTTGATTTGTTGGCTCTATGCACCTTTACTATAGTTCAAAAGGCATGTGTCTGGTACCATTTTCGGTCGCTGCTGCCTCCATATACCCAGTTAATCCCAATTAGATCCTGAAAATGTAAAATGGAATGGGATCCCATTGAACAGAATTTCGATTTAGGAATGATGTTATTTCGAAATTTGGACTGGACATCCTTTTGCGTCAATAGAATTGGAAAAGGGTTTGAAAGAACATGGTTCCCAATTAGCGGCTAAAGGGCTAGAGGGTCCCAATTGGTTAAATAAGAATTGCGGGCCAATGATCTCATTGGTCGAAGGAATCTTAGTTGTCGGCATGGTCATATCTTTGCAATCTTAGCAGGACACCTGTATTAATATCAAAACCTTTCAAAGGAAGGGTTGATTTAGGTTGATTTATGTAAAGAAAAAGGTCCACGAAACCACATGTGGAAGACCCATAATCCAGGTCCAGAGCCCCATAATCGATTGCAAAAGATTCTCTGCAGATCGCATTGTAATGGCTGCGTTAAGGTTGCTTGGTCACAGTAGTACTGTTACACGACAGGAGACTCACATTGCAGCTAAGCTCTGCTGTTAGAAAATCGCTTTGCCACCGTCCTCGTGCGACAGTGCGGTCCACGAGGGCAAACGCCATGGCTATCGGACCATGCGACTTCTGGCGGCTTGCAATCGATTTCAAATTGCTGGATCTCCATGCGCTCAGCAACGTGAGCGCTGCTTCGACAGCTACGAATGCTTGTGTGCTGCAGAGCGCCAACCTTAGAAACTTGCTGCAACGCAAAGTGGAAGAGGAAGGAAATTTGGAGTCGCAAAACTTGAGGATTGACAGTGGCTTCGAAGAAATGGCAGCTCTCAAGAATAGCTTGAAGATTGCATTGCACGTCTACGACGCGTTGCAAAATTCACGGTGCTTCGCGTGCAGGAAAAGTATCCCAACCGAAGAGCGCAGGAATATTGGTTTGGGTTACAGCCTTGACAACTGTTTGCACGGAACAAGACGATACCTTGGCAGAACAACGCTGCGTTGCCCTGACAGATGATGGTGTGCACGCTGCGGCCATGTTGTTGAGTGCTTACCGAGCAGGTGCAGAATGTCGTTTGTCGCAAGCAGATGCAGCTTGGGTCCGCAATGTCATTGCGGATAGTGAGAACTTCTTGCCTGATTTGCTTCGTGAAGTGCCATGACGGCCAACCAGGCTTCCAACGTGATAAGCTCTCCAGCCTTTCGTTCCAGTGCGGGCCGAAAAAGCTGCCAAAAGCCTAGACCAAGTGTAGCGCAGAGAAAAAAGCAGCTGTTGACCTTGGACTGCGTGAATCTCCTTGACAGGTAACAACTACACCATGTTTACACTTGCCGTTGCGATTTGATGCAATGCATCAACGCTTGGCATTAATGACCTCAATATTGCAAATATTTTATGGTCTACGCCTTTCGGCATGCAGAAGAATCGACATGAGTTACGCTCAACCTTGGTGTGCAGAAGCGCCGGGATAAGTTGAAAGTAGGTCCAACGCATGAGAAAGTTTGAGCTGCGCTCAGATGACATGAAAATAGCCATGAAGAACGTAGCTGACATATGGGAAGACATGAAACGCTCAGATGTGAAGTGTGAAGGGTGCAATGTGATGTATGAGGAAAGTGCTTGCTTGACGTTGCATTGTACCGGGGACGCGCGCAGGTCATGTTCTTGGACAACAACACTGCAACAGCTTC